CCCAGGAGTGTGAGGTTGCTGTGAGCTAGGCTGATGCCATGGCACTCACTCTAGCCCAGGCAAAAGAGTGAGACTCTTGTCTCAAAAAAAAAAAAAAAAAAAGGAACAGGCTCTGGCTAGGAAAGGAATAATGGTGTTTGGAGAGTAGGAAGAAAGTCCTTGTCCAAAGAATGATAGAGACAATGCCATATGGCCTCCTCCCTGAACCTCTCAGAGGAGAGATCAGACAGATGACAGCCAGAGGAGGGTTCAGTGGTTCTCCTACCCCTGGGGGTTAGGCTGGGCTGGGCTGGCGCTGTGGGCTCTCTAACTCCAGAGCTCCATGATTCTATGATGTCACTTAAGAGAGAAGAATGGGGAGCTGGGCTCAGCTCCAGCTGCTCCAATTCCTCTCTCCTCTGGATTCTGATAGTTTTTGGGGTGAGGGGAGGTGAACTGAGTGATCACACGTGTCCCAGCTCAGTCTCCCCTCCGGCCACCTCAGCCCCCACCAAATTTATGGAGAGAAATTAGCCAGTGTGAATCAACTGCACTGAAACAAGCAGAACATCTTTTATGAAGCTGAACTGATCAAAAGAACAACAAGGAAAACAGCCTTTTATTCCTCTGTTTCTAGAAAACTTAAAGAACAAGAGAACTACATTCAAACTGAGCTGGAAAAGAATATTTGGACAATCTGTGATTGTGAGAGTAGATGAGTCTTCTAGCTAATCCTATGACCTTTGAAACCACAGCAATCACTTTCTTCATCATCCTTCTAATTTGTGTCATTTGCATCCTCATTTTATTGATGGTTTTTTTATATAAATGGTATAAATCCATGCTGATAAATTGGGATCAGATTTCAAGTCACTCTAACAAATGTATCTAGAAATAATATATTAAACAATTTAAAATAGAGCAATTAATAATGCCAAAGCTATCTACTCTTTCCATTTCACGGTTTTAGAAATGCTAATTTCCTGTTTAAAAGTGACATTCATCGAGTGTTGGGCAAGTGGGAACCGGGAGGAGGGGATGGGTGCTGTGTACACTGTCTGGGGGATGAACACGCTTGTAGCTTTGACTTGGGAGGTGCAAAGGCAATTTATGTGACCAAAGCATTTGTACCCCCATAATATTCTGAAATAAAAAAATAAAAGTAGTGTAATCAAAAGGCAAATGTAAAAAATAAAGTTTCATTTTTGTACATATCTTTTGCTTATACT